AGGTCAGCCCCCAGCCTGTCCTGGTGCATGGGGTTATTCCTCCCCAGGGGAAGGACCCTGCACTTGCCTCTCTTGAACTCCATGAGATTCCCTTCAGCCCATCTCTCTAGCCTGTCCAGGTCCCTCTGAAGGGCGGCACAGCTCTCCGGTGTATCAGCCACTCCTCCCAGTTTCGTATCAGCAGCAAACTTGCTGAGGAGGCACTCTATCCCTTCCTCTAGGTCACTGAAGAATAAGTTGAACAGGCTTGGACTATGTATCGACCCCTGGGGACACTGCTAGCTACCCTCTGAGCTCTGCCATTCAGCCAGTAACTAGACTCTGTGCCACAGATCACAACAACATAACTCTGTTATCAATATTATTATTGGAGTTGTGTTTAACTCTGTTATCAACATTATTATCAAAGTTATATTATCAACAAAACTCTGCCCAGCCTTCACAGCTTTAGCTCAGTGGGACAGATTGGCTGAAACTTAATCATTTCCCTTTATCTGGAATTTAGTGTAGGTTTAAAAAAAGTGAATTATTCATTCTAATATGAGGACACAGAAGCCATAAAAGCCAAATTATCTAAAAAATAGGAAATGGAAACAATTGTTACTTTAGAAAATACCACCCGAGAAGGCATAGTTGTTGCTTACCCTGCCAAATTCTGCACAGTGACAAAATTAGAAGTTAGCTTGTGCTGAAATCTAACTAGAAGATTTTAATCTGAAGTCTTTCGGTCAAGACTGAGGGCACTCCTAAAAAAGCCCAATTTATACTGGTTCAGCCCAGCTCAGCCACAAGCTAGAGGCTCAAAGCAGATACTGGATAGCGTTTTGGAGGTTGAGTACAGACAATGATAACAGTCTGGTCCAAACCATTGGAACAAGCCATTATCACCAATGTAAACACTTTTCTCCAGGAGCGTGTCTACTTCATGTTCCCTCAGTTCTGCTTCCTTCAAATTATGATTTCAAAGGCTATCACTCAGTTTATGAAGAAAGACACGCAAAAGCTGTGCCATGTAGCCCTTTAAAAAGAGGGGATATACTTGGGCTTGCTCTGCGTACAGACAAATTGGAAATCTGCAATATAGAGGTGCTTTTTCGGTTTGTAATGTAGGGAGCATGAATAAAAAACAGATATTTTATGTCAGGAAGTTGAATTTTGTTTGATTCCTGTATGCCTTCTATAAGCTTTCAGTATTTCTAGCATCAACAATGTGTTGAGGAAAAGGAATGCTTTTAATGGGATGGCTCATAGAAAACATGGTTCCAGAATTTAGTTCAGAAATGTCCATGTTTATTTTATTCTCCTTATTCTCTTGGACGCTTTCTGGTCTCACTCTTATTTATCTCCCAGTAACTTTGCTCCAGGTGAAAGCACTGACTCCTTTATGGCAATGACCACGTAAAGCAGGTAAAGGTAAACCTGCCCGAACATTATGCTGCTTGTAAGGCTCCTCCCTCCTTTCCACATTCCCATGCATTTCAGATCCTCTCCCATATTCATTGTGATGATGATGTTTACCTGGAATTACCACTGCCCAGGTAAATCAAAATACAGATTGAACATCACTTTGGTGTGATGTCACATCACATTTAACATTTAAAATGGTTTAACGTCATTTAACTATTGGGGTCGATTGATGGCAGGCGGCAGGCACCAAGGGAAACCTGCAAAAACGCATCCCAACAATCACTTTCATTCTCGGTGCCCAGCAGAGGTATAATCCCCGGAGAGTCTCGGGAGAAAATTAGGCTGCAAACAAAAACAGCGCCTAAAGCACTGCTCTCCAGGGACCGTGCCTACAACTACGGAAAGGGAGAAACAATACGAGTTTTAGGCTCACTCCCCCACCGCGGTCCCCCCGCCTTCCGCGGGCGGCGCATCTACTCACCGCGGCTCCGGCGAGCTGGGGCCGGCG